CCCCAAAACCCCAAAACCCCAAAACCCCAAAACCCCTGGACTATTCTCAAATATTGAAGGAATGCATTGGTTAATTAATGATTGGAAGCTGAAAAATGACTCATACCTACATTAAATTGACACTTGATCATAAATATTTCTACTTATTGGAATTATATAATCTAAACTTGCTTAATATACAATATATTATCACTAAAGTAAATCATTAAATACCTCAAAAATGCTTTATTACCAAATACTGATAAAAAGATGATTACATCCACTTTCTTCTAAAATATTTCTAATACTCTGTGCTTCAATACCACAATCCTTTATTTTGAGTGTAAATAAGCTTTTCATCAATCCTTGATAAGTAGTTAACCCTTCCATCAAATTTCTGAGCTGTTCAGGGTGGTTTTGCCAATCAGAATACTCTTCCATACCTCAACCACAAAAATCTAGTGTCTTGATCTGAGAATCTTCCAATACTCGGCCAAAACTTATAGGTTGAGAAACTGAAATTTTGCAGAATGAGAGAACCACTGAATTAACATGGCTAAAAGAAATTAAAAATCTCTTAAACTGGCGATGATTAATTTTCAAACCTTGAATAGAGAACTTATCCAATACTCTTGGGCTATTTTTCATAATTTCAGCGAAATAAGAAGTCATTCTAGTAATTTTTCCTCCTCTTTTTCTTATGATCAGAGTGTCTACTTCCTCTGGGAACGAGTTGGACAAGAACTTTTTTAAATATGATCCTCCTCTCCTAATGTCTTCTAATGAGAGAACATTGCAATTGAAGAACCTGAGAAAGGTTATTTTCTTAATATAATTTGAATCAAGATATCTCCCGAGGACTAAATGTCATCCGTATGGTATATATTCTATTTCAGAGTAACTTTCGGGCTTCTGAAATATTAATTCTTCTGAAAATCAATTGAAATAATGATTTCTAGCATACATTATACCAATCTTTCTATTTTTAGATGAAAGTACACTTCCTCTCCTATATAATTGAATTCCCCAATCAAGACTTTCCAAAAATCCCAAAATATCTCCAAAAAATCACTTAAAGCTACCACCAAATCCAAAATCCTTCTAAAAATCTCTTCTACATCATAAATTACCCTCCCTAGTCCAAAATTCTCAATATCTCTACTAAAAGCCCAAAGTCATTCCTCTGTTCGCCTAGCTTAAATCCTTATGTTCCTCCTCTTGTGCATACCTTGAGACATCCCTTGCTTGTACTGATCAAACAGAGTTCGACATTTATTATATTATTAATGTAGCATATTTTTCAAAGCTTAGATCCTAGATGGGGTTTTGGGGTTTTGGGGTTTTGGGGTTTTGGGG